CACAATGAGAAGCCCGTGCACTGCAACAAAGAGTAGCCCCTGCTTGCCACAACTAGAGAAAGCCCACACGCAGCAACTAAGACCCAACACAGCCAAAAATTAATTAATTAATTAATTTTTTTTAAAAAGATATTACTTTAAAAATAAAAGACTCTGCGCTCCCAAGGCAGGGGGCCCAGATTCGATCCCTGGTCAGGGAACTAGATCCCACATGCATGCCCCAACTAAGAGTTCGCATGCTGCAAATAAAGATTCCGCATGCTGCAACGGAGATCCCATGTGCCGCAACTAAGACCTGCTACAGCCTAAGTAAATAGATAAATAAATTAATAAATTAAGAAAATAAATCTTAAAAAAAAAAAGAAATGAAAACTGAATCCCGATGACATCGAAATGAATCTCTGCATCAATCCAATTGCCTGAAGCCAACCCTACCCCTGGATTTTTCAGATATGAGTCAATACATTCCCATTTGTTTACACCAGATTTTTATTTGGATTAAATTGGATTTTAATTTCTTTTTTTTAATTATTTATTTATTTAGGCTGCACCAGGTCTTAGTTGCGGCACACAGGATCTTTAGTTGCGGCATGCAGACTTCTTAGTTGCAGCATGCGAACTCTTAGTTGCAGCATGCATGCAAGATCTAGTTCCCCAACAAGGGATCAAATCTGGGCCCCCTGCATTGGGAGCACGGTGTCTTACCAACCTGACCACCAGGGAAGTCCCTGGATTTTAATTTCTGTCACATACAAATGATTCCTCACAATACAAGGGGGTTCTCAATCCCTAACTCTGCCTTCTGGGATATCTACATATCTATGGATATATAGATATAATAATAATGATAATAGTTAACATATGTTAATTTCTTTGTGTCTCAGTTTCCCCTATGTGAAAGAATATAACAATACCTACTTCAAAGAGTTGTAAAGATTAAATGAGATAAATGTTAGAGTATAAATTTGTTCCACAACACTGAAACACAAGAAACATCACATTACTTAATTTTTCTAAATTAAATTAAACCTGGTTCGAAACTCTCATTTACCAGGGTTGGAAGACATCTAATATTAATCATGATTTGGGTCAGGGAAGGGGGCTTTCCCCCTCTTTAATGTGATATACATTGACGAAAAAACAAACCACTAGGAAAGAAACTTGGGTCTTGATCCTGTCATGGTTGCCACTGGGATGTGCATTATCTAAACTCATACAGTCCATTCAAAGGCAAATGGCTCCACAGCATCTCTACCAAGTATATATATCAGCATCTTTTGCTGCAGTTCCCAAGACTATGTACTAGATGTTTAGTGCCCTATTAAATCAGCTCTCCCCATCAGAAGCCCTGCTGCCTCCTAATTGACTTCTGTCACTCATGGAGCCTATTGCAATATCTCTTTTTTCCCAAGTCCCTGAACCCACTGCTATCCTTGGGCAACTTCTCTTCTTTCCACCTGGCATCTCCTCCATCTTCTCCTTCTGAAGAGCACCCAGCTAAATTAAATTCTCCTCCCACACAAGAGCCTGGATAAGGTTGTAGAACAGGTGTATTGCAACTTTAGTTTGGGACTAATAAACTCAAAATCCATTAACTATTCCATGAGACAAGAAACCTAGAATTCCTGGAAGAGAGGAGAGCAAAGTTACCTTTTTATCCTACTGAATGTCTCTCTCGGCAATGAGTAGCAGACAGCAACTTAGTAGATTATCCTGCCATAAATGTAAATTAGCTAGCACAGAATTCAGCATTGCCTTCTCTATTTCCTATCAGAACTCAACTTACTTTATTCATCCAGAGGTAGGAAACTCAGATACCAGGCAGGTAATGCAAATGACTAAAAATAGGCAAGTGTAAGAAAACAACAAAACCATAGGCACAATGATAAACAGCAACTAGCCCTCAGCCTCGGCTTTAACAAAGAGAACATGGTGAACTGGAAAGCACATGGCCACTAAGGGAGCACCTGCTACTTAGCTCTCAATGGTCTTTACTGGGCTTCCCTGGTAGCATCGTGTTTAAGAATCCGCCTGCCAATGCAGGAGACACAGCTTCGATCCCTGGTCTGGGAAGATCCCACATGCTGCGGAGCAAGTAAGCCCGTGCGCCACAACTACTGAGCCTGCGCCTAGAGCCCATGCTCTGCAACAAGAGAAGCCACCACAATGAGAAGCCCGTGCACCACAACGAAGAGTGGCCCTCGCTCGCTGCAACTAGAGAAAGCCCACGCATAGCAACGAAGACCCAACATGGCCAAAAATAAATAAATATAATTAATTAATTAATTAATGGTTATTACTTTGTGGGAATGAGAGCCCTATGTTGCCAGATTTTAAGCCAAAAATATGATTACGTACAATCTACTAATCTTATAATGTTGACCATTCAAGTTTAAAAAAAAAACAAAAAACTGCTGGCCACATTGTCTGGGCCAAATGTTAAATATCAGTATGTACCTTTTTTTTTTTTTTTTTTTTTTTTTTTTGTGCGGGCCTCTCACTGCTGTGGCCTCTCCCGCTGCGAAGCACAGGCT